TACTTTAGGGGGGGGGGGGAGGGGGGTACTTAAAGGGGGTACTCTATAGGGCTTCGGGGAGATTTTAGAATGCCTTCTCCGTCAGCTGGGTTCAGGAGGGGCCGATCATTACCGGGCTCAGGAGAAGACCTCAACCATTCGAGGGCTTCGCCGGTTTCCTGAATCTGTCCCTCGCTCCGCTCTCTCCCTCCATCTCTCTCTCTCTCTCTTTCTCTCTCTCTCTCTCTCTGTCAATATATATATATATATATGTATGTATGTATGTATGTATGTATGTATGTATAGTTTTTTTACCCGGAGCTGCTGGGTCTTCAGGAGGAGCATTCCAGGCACCTACGCTCCGGAGCACAGACACAGATCGGCGAGGCCAGAGTCTGTGTCTTTGATTTGTGTGTGAGAGTGTGTTGGGCGTTGACGTTCAGGGCCAGTCTAGGGTTTTCTGGGTTCCCGCGCTACTTCGTCAGGATTCGAAGATTTGGGGGCTCGAGGTATTCCTTGAGTTCACTGGCAGACCGAAGAGTTTAAGCAAGGTGAAGGCCCACAGCCCCTTCATCGATGATTTGGAGCCCGTGGCGCCGCTGGACGCTGTGGCAGTGCTGGGAACTGCACAAAGCAAGACGGAAGCTGTTTCGAAGTATTCTGCCATTGCGGGTATTTTTGCATCCAGACTTCGAAGTTCTGCACCCTGTCGTGGCGAAGCCAAGTGACGACTGAAGCGACAGACAAGCGAAGCAAAAGCACCTTTCAGATTCCCGTAGTGCATTCAACTTTTCGACTAAATACATGTAGTATTTCAAGCTCCTTCAAGGCGCCTGGTGCCGTCGCCGCTGCGGGTATCCCTCGCCAGGGAGGGGCCCGGAGACCTGCGCTTTACGCCCCATGGCTTTGCATAATCCGGGGCTGCGACGCTTCCGGCAGAGATTTTCAGATTTGGGTGCCCATCTTTGATCCCGAGCCCGCGCATGTCCACCACCTTTGCATAACTGACAGCCCAGAACCCCCACAGTTCTTCGGTTTGACCCTCGGGCCATTTCAGGTGCCTCCATACCTGTACCCGGACGCCTTCCCGGCCTCCGCAAAAGACATCTGCCACTGCGATGCGCCCAAGGAGGATTCGGCTTAACCTTGCAATTCTGATTTCTAGTCTTTACATATTATATGCATATGTGTATATATATATACACACTATATCTTGAACTGATGACTCTTTGCATGGGATGGGAACCACATCCAGCTCTTCAGTGCTATGATGTGGTCCTTCCAGGGAAGGGATTGGGGAGGCAGAACCTCATCAGCTCTTGATTGTTGCAGGTAGACCTACAACCCCGAATATGCTTAACGCATTCACGAGCGCCTTCATCGTGTGTCTCACACTTGTCTGCCTTTGCCTGAGCATGTGCCACACCCACTGCAACACTAGCAAACTCCGAAACGCCCCACCTGTTGAATTTGAAACCTGCAAGGAGAAGCTGACGAAGGAGGAGGAGCTTTGGGCCGCTGAGGTGGCAAAGCAGCTGAACCTCCCCTTGTCTCAGGCGTGGGCGTTTTGAGCTGGGGCACGACATGTACAAGCGATTTTGGTTGCTGGCCACGTGCCGAGACTTACGAGCGCTGAATCCAGTCGTGGCTCTTCCCTCATCCCGCGGCAACAGCCCACGATGTCTAACTATAGCAGCTGCACTGCATCAGCACTGAGCAAGCACCATGCATGGTCAGGGCATCGGCGGGCTTAGGCATCTTCCTACCGGGAACCCACGGGCCCCCGCCAAACATCCCTACTGTTGAGACTTCTGTTTCAGGTGATGCATCCCACAGACTTCAAAGGCATCGCACACTGTGACTGCGGTGCTGCAGAGAAAGCAGACGGCCGATGCTTTGCTGCAGATCTTTGCATGTGTGGAAGCCGGACAATTGAATTTACGAGCCTGTGTGTTTTGGATGCAATGCTTTCGTTCCGGTCATCTGCCTATGAGGCGATTGGCTGTCAGTTGGCTACTCTGTGTGTGTGTGTGTTTGTTTGTGCGTGTTGCGTGCGTGAGATTCGAGGTGTTGATGTCGCACCCAATGACCCAAGCAGTGTCGCCAGGAGAAGGCTCTAGAGGCTCTATAGCCTATATAGCTCTATAATCCCGTAGCCTTAATCACTTTAATCTGCGTACCCGCGCAGCAGCTGTGTTGAGTGTTGCGCGAAGCCTCGTCAAGCATCTTACGTACTTCAACCCTAGACGATGCGATACCCGTCGGACCCTTCCGCTGCTAATCCTATTCCCTCGGCTTCACAAACTGCATTGAGACGAAGGTGTCTTCCGCTATGTGAAGACCCAAGCTACGAACAGCTCTGGCTTCACGGTCGCCGGCGCCCGTTCTAGCATTCGGTCATCCAAAAGCTCGTTTGCTTGTACTTGTTCACTCTTCAATTGTATTGTGCTATCATGTGCAAGTTACTCATGGGATGTTGCTTGGGGGCAGTTGCAACTCAGGCGCACTTCGCTATGTTCGTGAAATGATGTGGTTCACATTGCTTTAGCATTCTTCAAAGATTGGAGTCATCTCACCGTCCGTTCTGTACTTTATGCATACATACATACATACATACATACATACATACATACGAGCTCGAGCATACATGTCAAGTCATGTCATGTCATGCCATGTTATATCATATATGTATGTGCATCTGCACACATGTTCATACGACACTTGCGTTGTTACTGTATTTCTCCGTACTCACGCACGAGCAAGACACAATTGTCTGATTGAGCAAGGTGCTGACCCGACCTTCCCACATGGCAGCTACTGGGAGCCGGAGGTCCCTGTGAGTCATGCCATAGCTTATGCGTTCTGACCTGATGTCTTCGATTCCATGAGTCCAGCCGATCGTGTGGACATAAGAGGTATCACGAAGTTCCACAGGACTGCCTACGTGCTCTGCCAAGCACCGACAGTGGAAGACGGGAATTCTTGGAAGGCGGTGGATGCTTCAGGGCTCATGGCGCCTGCGGACCAGCTTCGGCCAGAGGACGCCTGAATTGTGTTCTCATTCTCTCTGTCTCTATGTATATACACACATACATACAATTATATGTGTATATATATATACATGACATCCACATCTGTACGTTACACACACACATACATACATACATACATACATACATACATACATACATACGCACTTACATGTTGTTTTGGAGAGTGTGGGGACATGGCAGTGTGGAAGCTTGAGAGGGCGTGCAGAAGCCTATTGCAGAGAAACGGTTAGATGACATGACAGATGTGCTGAGGCGTCGGGGCGAGACGGGCAGTTAGAAACCCCACAAAATCAGATGCCGCACAGGATCTGCCGCCACAAGCACCCTTCGACGAGGCTGATAGAAGGGTCCGTGCTTGCTTTTCGCGTTTGGTCCGAAGTAGGTTTTTGGCTGAAGTGACGTTTCGGAGTCCGTTTGCTGGTAGCTGGTCGCCGTCGGATCCATGCTTCCACTGCCAGCCTGCAGCTCCCGACCTCATGACAGGATCCTAATACATCCCGAGCTTTCCAGGTGGACCTGGCCTCGAACCTTGCGCAGCATGACAAGATCCCCAAGAAGATCGCAAAATACCTGGACCAGGCCTTCTGCCCTGCATGGGAAGCTCTCGTTGCTGTGCTGGCATTGCTGGCCCTGGTTCACGAGTTCACGGGCATGTGTTACGTCTTGATCTGCATAGCATGAAAGTAGTCCTTGTGACGTTATAGTGCGATTGGATGATGCTCTGAGACTCTGAGGTGGAGAGCAGGAGTAGCAACTGTGACGATCCGACCAAGCCCTGCTCTGCTGACTGCAGCGCCGGCGACGCAGTGTCCTTCGAGCTGGGTCCCTCGCCTTGTGCTCAAGTCGGGAAGCCAGGCCTCAGAAAGAGCCACTACAGCGATTGCACTGCGACTACAGAACCAGGGATCCAGGCTTGGGCCAGACTTGGGCTTGCGGGGTGCCTGCGACTGCGCTTGCACACTACCTCAGGGCTGTCCAACCCAGGCAACACACGGCGTGCAGCCACGGTGCTGGCGACGGCTGCGGGCAATGCGCTGGAAAGGGCCACATAATAATGTCATATGCGGTGGTTATTTCCCGGCATTCCAGAGAATAGCATGCGGTTCTTCGATAGCTTTGTAAATTGGGCAGTCGGTCACTCCAAGACTCCTGTCCAATGTCCAATGTGGCATGTGAGGAGATCGAGTTTGCCACCGGCTTGGCGGCGGGCGACGTGTGTGCTGCGGAGGCCTTCTGCCGGAGCGAACCGCCGGTGCCCGGCTCACATAGAGTTTATGTCAGGCCGGCTGCTCCCTCTTCAGGGTTTGCGCCCCGAAGCCGGGGCTCGGTGCAGCTGCCCCGCGGCAGTGCGTGGCCCAGGACGGCAGGAGGGCTGCTCGAGGGGGGGCCGAGACCTTCTGTCCTGCGAGGACTCCGATGAGCGATTGCCCCTTGGCTGCCTTGGCTTGCCTGCGCTTCTGGAGCGCGAACAGGAAGCGGACGTAGAAGAGAGTCGGCGGTTGTGACAGAACCCATACCCAAGACCCAAGCCGAATTCTTCCGAAAGTACGGGTAACACCGGGAAGGTCGTGGCAGGGCCATATCGAGAGGCACTTCCAGTGCCCGGAGAACACAGCTGGATGCAAGCGTGTGCGGCAGGTGGACATCTAGCATTCTGAGTTTGAGGGAGTTTTTTCAGGTTTACGATCCCAACTCTCAAATCATCCCAATGTCGATCTTCGACCGGCATGCACGGTTTCTTTCTGAAGTGTGGCAGGGACAAGCTTGGCAAGGCGGTGCAACTCATGTTCAAAAAACGCTGCAGTCCTACAATACGGCTGGCATCCGTCAGGTCGTGCAGGGCCTCTACCTTCGCAAGGAGGGCAAACCTTGCAGGGCAAGGTGAAAGTGAACTGAGCAGAGGGAGGGCTCAAAGAGCCATTATCTGATTTCCCGGAGAAGAAAACTCTATCTCCAGCAGACCGCACGTCCTGGTTTGACTCACATGGCCTCCCGAATGCATCACATATTATTGTTGCAGTGTCTTTCTCACGCTTGTTGGTGTACCTGTATTTCAATTCCATGGAAGATGTGGCCACACGAGAATGCGAGCAAGTCCCAGAACGTTCCTAGTTCCGCTTTGCGTGCTTGTGCCAGCTTTGGCTGACAGGCTCCGGCCATCCACGGATTTGTTGGTTTGCTTCGCATGAGATGAGATGTCAATAACTATAGCCATACCAGACGTCAGTGTGCGGAAGGGTCGAGCAACTCTCGATGACCGCGCCGCAGGGTGCGGAAAAAGGAAGCTTTTTTTGCTCGGCAGCCGGGATCTTCAGCAGGGCCCAGTCTGTGATTGAATTGTGACTGCGTGTAGGCCCGGAAGAGCACTGCCGCGGAGCAGTGAGTGATTAGTGGTTTTTGCATGTGCTGGATCACGGATGTATGTATGAGTCTCCTTCTCCTGACCACTAGTGGGTCCCGTGTGTGGAAACGAACCTATTCGCACCCCAGCAGCGCAGATATAGTAGTAGCCACTACACGCACTCATGATGGGCGAACTCTTGCGTTCTCTGGTGAATGACAGATGCTTCATGAAATGCAGGGGTTTCGCCATGTTTTGCCCCTGGCCTGAAATTCTGAAAGGCGCCTGGTGGAGGATGATGGCGATGCTCGAAGGGCTGCTTTGCAGGAGGCTGCGATATGATCGGGTGAGCTTCAAGAGTTTGCTCTGTCTTCACTCGAGCCTATAGGCCCAGGCCCGGAGATCAGGGTGGTTTTCCATGAATGCAGCAATGCCAAATAAATTTTCTGTCCAGATCACGCTTTGAGGCACGGTGTCACTCAAAGAAGTGTTGCGAGGACTGAGGGTTGTTGGAGGCCACATGGTGTCCACAACATGCTCACGAATTGAAGCTGTCGGTGATTCTGGCTCAAGCACTGTGCAGTTTCAAGACACAGTGCACTCGAGTGGTATTTTATAGGAACTTGGCAGTGAACGCCTCGCACTTAGCGTCCAGCACTGTAAGCATTCCGTGCTAGCTGAGTATCTACCCCACTTCAAAGCCCTATTTCCTTTGGGCTAGGGAATTCGGCGGGGTCTTGAAGGCAGAGGCTTTCTTGAATTTGCGACGCTCTGGAACAAGATCTGTATAGTAACAGGGCAGCCACTCCAGCTCGGGGACACTCAGAAAGTAGATGCCCAATCTAGCTGAGTCACCGTGAGGCATAGCACCTAAAGAACCTGTCTGTTGCATGGATCGATGACCGCGTACTGATGCATGTGTGTATGCGCCCATGCATGCACGCATCTATGCATGTCTGTTGGTCTGTTTGTCTGTCGGTCGGTCAGTCTGTCGGTCCGTCGGTCTGTCGGTCTGTCGGTCNNCGGTCGGTCTGTCTGTCTGTCTGTCGCGGTCACGCATTCATGTATGTATGCATGCATGCATGTACATGGATCACAGACAGTAGACAGTGACATGTATATGTACGCATACGTACATATACGTGTAGCCCATGGGTCCGTCGGGACAATAGTTTTGGGCCACATCCCCCAGGATGCGTTGCTGATCAAGAGCACGTGGGCAGCGGGTGGTAGCGACGTTGACATGCGCACACCAGCCACTCACATGTGCATGTCCTTGGAGCTCGGCTTTGAAGTCTCGGCCAAGCGATCCTAACCCGAACTTCCAAGGCTCCGTGCTTGTAGCGCCTGGGCAGGCCAGAGGCCTGCTGCCTTCCAATGAATGCTTCCGGAGTTCTGGGAGCTGCTACAAGGGTCAAGGCACAAAATAACCTACCCAGGGCTTTCATTTTACCCCAATTTTTGGCAGTGGAGTGTTAGTTTTGGAGGCCTATCGAGATGCCCCCTCCCCCCCCCCCCGCACTTTTCAGCCCAGCCCTAAGAATCCGCAGCTTCAACTCAGGGAACAGCTCCCGGCCAGCTGCATGTGCTACTCCTGTTACATGATCGTGCATCATTCATTATATATGCTTTTATGGTTGGTTCTTATGCATTTATAGTGCACCATGACACGGGTAGTGTTCTAAAACACCCTATGAAACCCCAACAGGAAGACTCAGCAAGACGTCGACTCAATGAGGCAAGACAGTGAGCTTATCTCGCGTGCGACAGGGGGACAATTTTCTCGCTATCGCCCAGCTCACGCACAGCCGCTGCTGGTCGATCGATCCAGTATGGATGGCTCGGGGCCAAGCGCTGGGTAGTTGCTGGCGTATGCAATGGAGACGACATTCATGCAAGGGTGTTGCTCCAGACTCTTCTGCGATCAGTTGCAGGTGCATGTAGTCACGTGGCTGATGTCACACTTCATTTGTCCGAGCCTACTCTGCACATTTGTCTTTGGCTGAACCTTTGGGGCCAAGCTGTTGCACCCACAACCGTGTCTGCACGGGGCCGTTTCCCAAGGCACTTCGGTTGCCTCCCCGCTTCATAGATCAGCGATTAAGTAATGCCGTACACAAATCCGTTCCCATGGCTGCCGCCGCGATTTGTGAACGGCCTTTTCCCCTATGTTCGCTGCACGTTGCTCTGGTTTTACCAGGCCCGGTGAAGACTTCGGAAGTGAAGCGGACTTATGCGTGTAATTTTAAGTACTTATTACACAGAGAGAGAGAGAGAGATATATATATATACATATAGCGAGAGAGAGATAGGGAGTGGGAGAGGGAGAGAGAAAGAGAGTAAGATAGATAGGTAGATAGGTAGATATAGACAGGTCGGTAGGTACATAGATTGATTGACTGCCTGCATAGCCCAACCGCCCAACGCCCCCCCAAAGGCACCTCTTCCGTTGTGCCTGTGAATCAGGCCTTGGACAAGCTTCGCCTGCCAATGGCTCTGCCAGCGCCTGGTCACAAATTGCCTGATGTCACTGAAGCCTTGGCTTGCGGCTGCTGCGAACACATCTGTATCGGACGGAGCCTCCCGAAGCGAAGCGTGCAGGACAACACTGCAGGGCTAAGCTTCCCATTGAAGGGGCCACCTGGAATTAGGTCAAATGGCTGCTTGGCATGGTCAATGCCCCTGCGATAAGAAGGTTGTTGTTAAACCTCATAAGTCCCACAAGCTTCAAAACGCTTGAAGCCAGGATAAATCCCTGCATCCTACTGAAGAGGTAGAACGCAGCTGTGACAATACCTAAGAAGTAGACAGTAGACATTGGCAGGAGGCGCTGGTCACTCCAATGGGCCTTCCGGGGGACTTCCAGACCGCACCCTTCATCGCTGTTTGGGGTGGACATGCCGGCTTCTCACCCCAAGTTAGTGACCAGTTAGTGTAACTCAGAAGCCTGCAAGAGACATCTGCAGTAGCTTGTTGGTTGAAGATTGAGATGGAACCATGACAGCAAACTAGGAACTGCGAGAAGCATTGCAGAACAGCGTTGCCAAGAACAGGGGTAGTATCTCCGGTTGCATATCCAAGGGCGAAGGCCGAGGAATGCTCTGAAGTAAATGGAAGGTTGCATGGGAACCAGTCGAGTTCAGGGTTCCAACCAAGGCTTCGATCGGGCCGTGATGCTTTGGAGTCAGGAGGCCGGCACTTTCCCGATCTGTTTTTGCAGTCTCTCTGATCGCCACTCTGTTTTGGGCCCCTTGCAGGTCCTGGAGGCTGTCAACGCCGAAGGTGCCAGCTTCTTCCCCGGTGCCAGCGGTGAGCAAATTCTCGTGAGTGGTGTGGACTGGACGCTGATGACGACCGGCGTCAGGGTGCAGATTGGAAAGGAGGCGACTTCACTAGAATTGCCATTGCTGTTGGTGCTCCTCTACTGCGGCTGTAACCGCTCAAGGTACACCGGCACTTGTGGAGTCGGTTGGCAAAGCAAACCCAATGGGAAGACTTCGAAGCTCAAGCCTAGCTACAGACAGCAAGTCCGTGTTTCAGGGCCTCCGTCCCCAAGAACAGAGAATCCTGACTCTGAAAATCTTCGTTGGCTAGGAATCCCCAGACCGGACCGAAGGTGCTTTTGGAGATCACCTATCTCAAGGGCCCCTGCAAGAAGCAAGATTCCAATTTCACGCAGCCAGAGGCCATGTGCTGCTTTGCTCCATGCTGTCGCACTTACAGTACTTCCCCTTCAATGTTCCTTGACATAGCAGTGGACTGTATTGATTACTCAGCTCACTGCGCAGGGATATTAGACGTCAGGTGTGAGACACTTGGGTTGTTGCCCTTTTGGCTGCACCCCACCGTGCGAGGTTTTGTGTTGAATGCCCTACTGCCTTCTGCAGGCCAAGGCGCGGATCAGCCCAACGAAGTGCCACGGCCAAAAGTAGTGAGGAATACATACTCTGCAGAGTCCCTTCAGCTCAACTTCTGGGATGTCTGAAGTCCCGGTCTCTTCCTTGGGGGTTTGAGCTCAAACACTGTTTCGGAAGAAAACCCAAGCTCCGGGCTCAGGTATCCTGGCTCCTCGAGAGTGATGGCCAAGGTCCTTAGACCAGGACGAATCTTCAGGGGAGATCGCCTCTTCGTTTTCGAGCACCCGGAGGGTCCACAGAAGCAGTTAATTCAGCACTGAGAAGGAGGTGGAGAAGCCTCAATCTTCCAGGGTTGGCCCTGCTCAGAGCGCATCTGCGGTGAAGTGCAGACGTCAGGGCTCAAGCTCGCATTCCCGCTTTATACATTGCTGAGAATCTCTTAAATTGTCAAGTACTTGTATCAAGAATGAAGTTTCAGGCCTTTGAATACGGCTTGAGCCATTATGGTTTTCTTTTGATTTTATGCTCCGACCGGCCGCTGTAAATCGCCACTGAAGGTGACGAGGGAGTTGGCATCCCTTCGTGGAGAAAGTTTGCAGTCGATTCCAGGTCTCGATTTCCTGCGATGTGGGATCTAGACTTTCCGTGTTCCGTGCGTGGTGACCATCGGACCGCGACGGTGCGCAG